CAAAGTGTAATTTATTCAGTGTTGTCACATGAAAAGATCCATCCATCCATCCATCTTCTACCGCTTACTCCTTCTTCAGGGTTGCGGGGAAACCTGCAGTCTATCCCAGGGACCATGGGGCACAAGGCGGGGTACAACCTGGACAGGGTGCCAGTCCATCGCAGGGCACAATCACACAAACACACTCACACACCCATTCATACACTACGGACACTTTAGACATGCCCATCAGACTACCATGCATGTCTTTGGACTGGGGAGGAAACCAGAGTACCCGGAGGAAACCCCCGCAGCACGGGGAGAACATCCAAACTCTGCACACACATGGCCCCGGCGGGACTCAAACCCCGGACCCTGGAGGCAAACATGCTAACCACTAAGCCACTGTGCACCCATACATGAAAAGACATAATCAAATATTTACAAAAATGTGAGGGGTGTACTTACTTTTGTGAGATACTGTATATATATATATATATATATATATTTTTTTCATTTATTAACCTGGTAGACGCTTTTATCCAAAGCGACTTACAAATAAGCAAAGCGATATATCAAGCAGAGAATAATACAAGTAGTGCTACTGTACATATATATAAATATGTAATGCTTATAAACTTATTCTGTTTTTGTGCATTACACAAAAAATAAAGGGGAAGTACTTGCAGGTAGGAGCTAACATTGTGAGCAGGGAACTGAAGAGATGCAATAGGGTTTAATCCGTGGAATCGTTTGCATTGTAATTTTATGAAAAATTTTCTAATTTGCCTCAAAGTGAGAAAATCTTACTACAAGTTGTTGCTGAAATCGTCATTATTGCAGACGTGAAGTCCGGGTCACTCGTCCACACAGAAAATGAATGCTCACTTCTCGCTTTGTCACATCTGGTGTGAAAGTAGGGTTGAAATCAGAGGATGTCCCCAAGCCGTCATCTCCTCATCACCGGGTCTGAAACTGCCACAGGTAATGCTGATGGTTGGTTTTTATGCGCACGAGAGTCTATGAGCAGCTTTTGGAAAGACGTGTCAGTGGAAGTTATTCTTGAGCTTGAGAACCGTGACAGGATCGTAACGTATGATGGACTGTCATAAATGTATATCTGCGAATGAGCTGTTACTATAGAAACGATATTATGCATATTAGAACGAGCGCATTAATATAATCCTGTGATTTGAGTCAGAAAATAAATCAACACCTTCTGACCAATCACAATCCAGTATTAGGAATGAAGTAAGCCATCTACACTTACTGTCCACTTTATTAGGAACAACGGTGCATTCATGGAGTTATCTATTAAACACGTGGCAACTGCACAAAGATTTCACATACAACAGTCTCTAGAGTTCATAGAGAATGGTGCGAAAAACAAAAAACACTGAGTGAGCGACAATTCTGTGGGTGGAAACGCCTTGTTGATAAGAGAGGTCTGAGGAAAATGGGCAGATAGGTTCGAGCTAGCAGGAAGGATATAGTAACCCATGTAATCACTCTTTACAATCGTGGTGAGCAGAAAAGCATCTCAGTATACAGAACACATCAAACCTTGAGGTGGATGGGTTTGAACAGCAGATTACCACATCAGATTCCTCTCTTGCCAGCCAAGAACAGGAATTTGAGGCTATCATGGGCACAGATTCACCCAAACTGGACAGATGAAGGTTAGCGAGAAAAATAACCTGGTCTTTTTCCAGTCTTCAGCTGTCCAGTTTAGGTGAGTCTGTGCAGAACCTCCTCTCACAGGCTGTTCTGAGTCACTGAAGACAATAGATACTGAAAATCCCAGAAGTTTCTGAAAAACTCAAACCATCTGCTACCACCAGTTAAAGTTACAGAGACCACACTTCTTCTTCATTACGATGTTTGATGTGAACATTAACTGAAGCTCTTAAGTTGTATTTGCATGATTTTATGCATCGTGCTGCTGACACATCATTGGCTGATTGGAAAACTGCATGAATTAGTAGGGCTACAGGTGTTCCTATTAAAGAGACTGGTGACTGTGAACATTTATGACAAATATACACATGATACACTTAGAGAGATTTCCTCAAATCCTAATGACATCACGGGTTAAGACGTGACACAAGTTGGGGAATTAACTGATGACGAGCCTGAAATGAGAATAGAATTAAAACACAAATCGCCAGCTTGACTCACTACTACGAGGAAACTCGCAAAACTTTTCCAGAAATGATCTCATTGGGTTTGTTTTCTGCAGTGAAGAGAGTGTGAAATTAAAATTAGAATCCATCGACTGCAATCTAATATTTAGGCTTTTGTGGTGTAATGACTTTATTTTTTTACGATGTTTAAGCATCCTGTCTTTGTGTGATCCCAACTGCACTATAATATTTTGTTTATAGACACAATGTGTTTGCTTTTTTTTCTGAATATGTAAATGAACAATGTTTATAAATCATGTAATATTTAATCAAGATGTAAATATGTTGCTGTTTTTATCGTGTGAGGTATCAAGTGTGTATGAAATATTTAGATAAGACAAAGCGACTATGTTTTTTACGCTACTTTGCCAAACAAATGATGTTCAGACATATCTAATAAAATAGACAAACCAGGAAAATGTGTTTAATTCTTTTCTTTTGCGTGGATTCACTCTTAATTTAGTCAAAGCAGATATACACTCTAAATAAAAAAATATATATAATATATATATATATATATATATATATATATATATATATATATATATATATATATATATATAAACAATTTCAAGCAGAACAAAGGTTTATCGAAAAATATCTTTGTTGAACATATTTGTTCAACAATTATTGGCACCCATATAAAAATGTATGATAAAAATATATTTGTAGTATATTAATATTGTTAAGAATTTAGAACACCTAGGTGACTAGGAACAGGAAATTGTTTAATCATGACATCCTGTTTCACAGGGGTATAAATATGAGGTAACACACAGGCTAAATTCCTGCAGTCATTCATATGACAAAGACAAAGGAATGTAGCTGTGATGTGCGGCAAAAGGTTGTTGAGCTTCACACAATGGGAAGAGTCTAAAAGAAAATATCACAAGCATTGAAAACGTTCGTTTCCACCATCAGGGCAATAATGAAGAAGTTCCAGTCAACTGGAGATGTTATCAATCGACCTGGAATTGGACGTGTGTCTATATTGTCTCAACGCACTGTGAAGAGGACGGTTCAAGTGGATAAAACATGTACTTATATTGTACATCAGATTATGGGAATGATCTCATCATGGGTGAAAGTGCATTTTAACATTATACCCTAAAATGTAAACTCAAGTAAACACTTGACATCATATATATTTAATATTTTTAATATTTATATTTTATTTATATATATATATGTGTGTGTGTGTGTGTGTGTGTGTGCAATAAATAAAAACATGAAACATTTTTGTGAAAATAAATGAATGATAAAAGAAAAATTAATCACAAATATAAAGGAATCGGGGCACACGGTGGCTTAGTGGTTCGGCTCACACCTCCAGAGTCCGGCGTCCACCGCTGCCCTGTTTGTGTGGAGTTTGCGTGTTCTCCCCGTGCTGCGGGGGTTTCCTCCGGGTACTCCGGTTTCCTCCCCCAGTCCAAACACATGCATGGTAGACTGATGGGCGTGTCTAAAGTGTCCGTAGTGTATGAATGTGTGTGTGAGTGTGTGTGTGATTGTGTCCTGTGATGGACTGGCACCGTGTCCAGGGTGAACCCCGCCTTGTACCCCATGCTCCCTGGGATAGACTCCAGGTTCCCTGCGACCCTGAAAGGGAGTAAGCGGTAGAAGATGGATGGATGGATAAAGGACTTGTGTGTAAAACAATCACATGTGAAAAGCTAATTAAATAAAATATAACGTAAAAACATCACATTTAATGACAATGACAGAACAATTGGGTAAAATATTAGAAATTCATGTAAAATAAATTAATCATTCAAAAGTCTTGTAAAAATAAAGTAATTATGTAGAAAATAAACTATCATGTTTTTTGTGTTAAAAATTAATTGTGGGGGAAAAAATCACATGACAGTGAATTTACTGTGTAAAAAAATCACAAATAAATGTATCATGTCTAAAAATATGTTTTAAAAAGTGAAAATAAATTCATGTAAAAACTAAAAATAAAATCACACATTTGTAGATCATGTGAGTTTTCTATAAGAGCAGTACTGTGCATGTTAGATCATGTGCTTCATCACATTAGTGATTGCTTAGTTAATAGATGTAGTGTCTCTAAGCGGAACACACACACACACACACACACACACACACACACACACACACACACACACACACACACACACACACACATACACACACACACACACACACACACACGCACAATGTGAGTCATCACCTCGGCCTCGGATCAGCAGGTTTCTGGAGCGGATGTAGTGCTTCTCACTCAGCATGTTCAGGAACACAACACACACACACACACACACACACAACACACAACAACACACACACACACACACACACTCCTGCTGCTCAAACATGAAACTCTGACACGGCTCAGTAGCAGCTTCCTGCTGGAACTTCACTTTCTGGCTCGGATTCTTTACACACCTGTTGTGTTCACTTCTGTCACACTGACCCAGGACATATATCATTTTAACATTCTTTACATTCCACTAATATTGGCACCTTTGATAAATATGAGCAAAGAATCCTGTGAAAAACTGTCGTTATTGTTGATCCTTTTTGATTGTTTGGTGTCTTGATTTATTGTATGGCCTTAAAGATCACCGCCTCATATTCTTACACATGGGGTTCAAAAAGGAGCTAACTGAGGGCTTTTAGTTCAAATGGTAGAGCGCTTGATTAGCATCGATAACCGCATTCTCCAATGCAATAATAGTCTATGTGCATGCTGTTTAGTTATTCCCACATCACTGGGATTCACCCTGAGGTTCTACTGACCTGGGCCACAACAATTTGCATCCCTTGACCTTAAAACCCTCACACAGCAGGAACCTCACAGAGCACAGTCCTTGTAAATGGCCAGTACAGGGGTCTAACCCACGACCTTGGTGTTATTAGCATCACGCTCTAACTAGCCGAGCGAACCAGCCAATGCTAACGAGCGACAAGTTGGCCAGAGAAGCTTTACCGAATTGCTTTAAACTTGTTTCTCTTTACCCAATTGAAGCCTTGAATATCATCTTCCCATAGTCTTACACACAAGGGTCAAAATCCCACCATGCAGTCTTAAAAACACTTCAAAACAAGGACCTTAGGGGGCTTTAATGAATATAAGCCTTGAAGATCACCCACCAACCTCTAAGCAGCAGCTCTGACTGGATGCTTCAACATATGCTTCCTGAGGCAACCCTCTGAAGAAAGAGAAGCAGGCCAGAAACAGAAGCCTTAAAGATCACCTCCTCATATTCTAATGCGTAGGAACCAAAAAGGAGTTAATTAAGGTGAATTAGATGAAATGATAGACTGTTTGCTTTACATGCGAGAGGTAGCGGGATCCAAGGCTCCTGTGTGGAGATTGAACTCACAACCTTCAGATTATGGGACTGACATGCTACCTACTGCACTAACAAGTCTGAGAAAATATTTTCTTGGTTCGTACCATGATCCTCTTTTGCACATCTTGTATGGGCATTTGATCTCAAGTTGTACCCATGTTTCTTGACTTGTTTCTCGAACAATTGTGGTACCACTGGCCTGACTGGATTACAGCTATTGTAGTCCTAGCCTTCGTAGTATAACTGTTCATATATAATGAGGTCCAACGCCATCTGATGGTTTTTAAGTGGTGCCATCCTCAGTCATCTCAATGATCAGGATGTCCTCCCCATGTGGATCACAAAATGCATCCCATTCAGTCATCTCCAAACAGCCCTACAAGGTCTCCACAGCTTCAGGATTGCATTTCCTAACTGTTCTTGTGTGCCGGATTTTGAAGAGCAGTGGAATTGTACATATTTCTAACATTTCCAGTATTTTGTTTTCTTCTGGTCAAACATTTAACAAACTGCTGAAAGGTTTGGGGGAGAGCGAGAGACTTGATGGAAGTCAGCGGAGATCGCCAGAAAAGCAACAGAGTGTTGTGTTTGAAGTCTAGCAGTGACGACATGGATGATGCCACACGTTGCTTCAATCTACAGGGAAGGTAGGAATTTAAACAATGACAACAACAACAACAACAACAACAACAATGGTGTCTAGGAATTCTCTTGGCGGATAGAATGGATGCAAACCCACCACCAACAATTCAATGTGCTACAGAAGAACCCGTAACATTAATATATCCAGGATTACACAGCACAGCAATGCCTTTCCCTTTACTCTCTGTTTGATGTCGTAATCAACCTATATCTTCTGAAAGCCAGCACTCACAGCATAAGCATGGGGGATATGCACCTGTAGTCATGTTGTGAAGCACATTATACTACATTCCAAAAATTCTTTATGTTATATTGCCGATGCTCCAGGAACGGTTTAAACCTCTGTTTCATTGCTCTGATTCGCTGTGGCCCTACATCTGTGACATCACCTCTCGAGCTCCTCGGGGATCTGAAGCAAAACAATGTAAACTGTAAACAATGTAAACTGTAAAAAATGCACTCTCCATATTTGGAGTTCCACAATTGTTTAGTAGCAAAGAAAAGTTAAAAATAACACAAAACATAAACACAACAAGACTTAAAAACTATTCGTTTAAAAGACTAGAGTCAAGTGTAAGGAATATGATAGAGAAAAGGAATAAATACACAGAGCTGCAGTAACAGGCCACCAGCATGCACCCAGAATAATGTGTAGGTTATTATAACATGTGATGAGTGTATTTATTGGTCAGTATAATATTTTATGAATGTGTGTATAGATCATAACATAGTGAATGTATTTATGTTATTATATTACAAGAGAAGAAAAAAGAGTGAGGGATTTAAGAGGAGAGAGGGAAAAGTGAGAGGGATGAGAGGGAGTGTGTGCGTGTGTGTTTGAGAGAGAGAGAGAGAGAGATTTTGAGATTTTGAGATTTTAACAGAACTTTATTCACTCCAAAAAGTTTTGGTACCTTACATATAAATACTTTAGAGAGAACATTTTTTCTATTTAAAAACAAAAGAAGAGAAGAGAGGGGGTTAGAAGGAGAAGAGGGAAAAGAGAGAGGAAAATAAATAAATTAATTAATTAATTAATTAATTAAAAATAATAATTAATAAAGAAGTAAATAAATAGATAATAATAATAATAATAATAATAATAACAATAATAATAATAATAATAATAATAATAATATAATAATAATAATAATAATAATAATAATAATAATAATAATAATATAATAATTCCTAAACCTCAAACCCTTAGTCATTCTGAATCACATAATAATTCACTCCTTGCGATTGCTGCCCATTTCTTCAGTCTGGACCGTCTCCTGAGGGACGTCACTCCCATGGTGCACTGTACAGAGTTGACGAAGGTCCTCCTGTCCGGGAAGAATTTAGTCAGTATAATGTTTTGTTTTCCTTTAGTCACGTTTAGAAACCGGTTGATCTGTTCTTCGGTGTAGAGTTGCTCAAGTTCTTGTGGACGGTTAAAAACACACGGTCG